TACATCAATTTCTTACGTGTCATTTGTTAATTAAATACTTAATTAGTTAGTATTTTGATGAATTTAGATCAGTTTAAACCTATTGTATGTTTTTTCTGAAGTTGAGCGGAAAATTCGAAGTAAATTATTGAAGATAATACTATTAATACTTGTGGGGGGATAAGTTTTAAGACTTTTGTTTTACTTTTACATGTAATATTTGAAATTTTGAGAAAAGTAGTTACATGTTATCTATTTGATGAACTGGCCGAAGGACTTTTTTACAAACCTCTTATAGAGATGTATTAAGATAGTGAATATACTTGATTAGATGGATCAAAACTACTGATGTGGATTCGAGTTCAATTCCTTGTAAATTATATCGTCTCTTATAAATCCATCAGGAACATCAACCGTTGATCTGGTTAAATAATAAGCGCTATTTGACATTTTTGCTAACGATTTGCGAACCTTATTAAAACTCGTTGTGATATTTTTCATTCCTAAAATTTCCTAGTTGTGATTTCACAGATGACAACTTCTTTAGTTGTTTGATGTAAATATTGTATCTTCTAAGAGTCGCAAGTCTACAAATTTCATCCGTTCTATTTACTACTTTGCTTTCAATCCAATTCTTTTTACTAACTTCCATGTAATCAATAACATCATCGAAAGAATCAGCCCCTTTCTCATTGATTGTTGCAAATATCTCGTGACTTTCGTCGACCTGATCGCTAGTTTTTAGAGCAACAAGCAACCCAAACGTTTCCTTAACAATTAATCGAGTTACATTAACAATATCTCGAGGTTTCTTAGCTGTTTGCTTTGATTTATTTTCCGTTTCCATGTCAACTGATGATAATTCATCGTTCAGGAGATTAAGTTTATCACAATAGATTTTTATTAACATTAATTGTCCTTCATTCATCTCTTTTGCTTGGTTGATAAATTTTAATTCACTTTGGACAAGTTTAAGTAATGATTTCACTTGGATATGAGATTCAGAATTTGACTTGATTTCCAAAGATTTCATTAGGTCATAAATAACTGATGAGAAATCGTAAGGTGATTTGTAACCAGAATCTAATTTATCCAATTGGGTTGCACAAGATTTTAGAAATCGCTCAATAAAAGATAGGATTATATTGATAAATCTGAAGTAAGGTATCGATCAGAAAGACAATTTAAGACTTTTATAATCTTTCGCCATCCGATAGTTTGGACATTGCATCAGCAGCCAATAAAGTTGCTAAGCTTCATCGATATATTTTTGTGGTCCATTCAGAGCCTCATCAACAATTTCAACCTTTCTCTTGGAAACATCAATCTTCCTCTGGGAAACGATTCGATCCTTTGAACTAAGCTCATCCAAAGAAACTTTACTTAATTCACTTTCCGTAAGCAATTTATCACGATAAGATTCAACATCTTTGATAACTTGAAACAATACTGGAAGATTTGAATAACTAGTCCAAGCAAAAAAAGTCGTAGGCACTTTAAAGGGATTATCCATTGGGCTTTAATCAACTTGACTAATTAAAAAAATGATGAAAATATTTCATCAGATTTTATGGCAATTAAAAAACAAACTGCAATCATCAAGTCAGATATTCCATATTCACCAGAATTACTCCATCTATTGGGTTTCAGTTTAGGTTCCAATCTCTTTCTACAAGAAGCTAAATTACACACTTTTCTTGTTTATTTTAACAAATCACATCTCTTTCCTGGATAGTGAAATCTATCCGATTCCAATTCATTCTGTTTCGATTTGATTGAGTGGAATTGAAGCAATTCATTTGAATTTACTTTACCTAATTTTGTGATTGACAGTTTAAAGAGATAATCCATATATAAAACCTCTATAACTCTATAACCTTTGGTTCTCGAGTTATCGTGACGAACACTCTTATAAGTTAATTACTTGGAACATATTTGAACGTTTATCATGAAATTATTAACTGAATCGTTTTCTCATGGCTGGCATATAGATCTAAATATCTTAATTACTACAGTATTTTCTCATACATGTAGTTCTAGAAAACATTACAAATCTACTTATGATAAAACTATCAACTCTTTGATAAATGAGAAAGCACTAATTTATCAATGCTGAATACGATTAAAGTTTATTACTCGCGTTAATTAAACAATACATTTTGATTTAAAATAGTTGAATGATTAACATAAAGCTTGTTGACAAGTTTCTACGAAACTTTTACCAGTCAATGATTTGGCGATTTCTTGGACTTCACTTGAGATCTTCTTCGATTGTGCTCGAGACACATACCAAGCTTTGACTGTCGATTGATGAAGAAACAAAAACAAAAACAAATGATTAGTTAATTTCTCCACAGTAAAAACAATTAAATCGTTCAACTAACCATCAAGAGTACCATCACCATTTGATGAGCAAGAAGCCAAGACAGCAGTCCTGTCCTGGGAGTAGTAGGGCATCCAGAAAGTGGCTTGTTTACCGTCTATTTAATTATAATGGCTTGATTACTTTCATTAGTTCAAATAATTAATGTCTAATTACCTTGATTGATGTTGAATGAAACGGGCTCTTCATCTTCAATTATATCATAATAAGATCCACCAGAGAAATTACCTTCGATTAAGTTGACCTTTTTATCCCAAAGTACGACGCTTTCACTAGCATTGGTTACACGTTTGATTATTACTTTTCATGTTTATTAAGATTAACTAGATACTTACGGTTCTTTAACTGTGCCCTTGTTCAAGATGTAAACTTTTCCTGGGTAGAGATGATCGATTTCAATGGTGTTTCGAATGGTTTTTGGAACAGTCTTATCGGTTCGACCAATTTCATACCAACCAGTGATTTTGGTGAACTAAAGATTGTTAATTTAGTTTAGAAATCAATCTTAAATTATAATCATTCAAATATTAACTTACATAGCTGAAGGACCAGTAATTGATTCCCTTAGGAACTGTAGGAGTTGGACAAGAGTCTCCTTTAATTGTTACACCGATTGCAGAAGCAATTACAAGTGAAGCACAAGCAATGAAGAAGATGGATTTCATTTTGATTGTTTAATGAGAGTAAATTGTAGCTAGTTGAACAATTCAATTTGTTTTCTGATTTAGTTTGAGAATTTTTTTCCGCCTTAAATACTTACAGCGATCGATTGTTACTAACGCGAATTACTTGGAATCGTAATCGACACCTTTCCAGCGGAAAAATGATCATCATTGTTATCGTTTGATTGTTTGGCATTAATCGGATGACCTGTCAATTAACCAACACGAATGTCAACGCGATCTGTAAATTTTGACAGTAATTCAGTCAATTTGAGCGATTTCGCTATTGTGAAAACAACAGATGGAAAATTTTCATAATGTTCCAAAGTTGCACTTAAATTTCACTCAGTTTTTTAATTATCATGAACAAATGTAACTGTCAATCGTTTCTCATTATAATAGTCAGGGACAGGAATGGTTGTTTTCCCATAACTAATTATTAAACTAACAGTATACAATTAATTTGTCTTTTAACCTTTGCAAAGACAATCAATAATTAATTATTAATAGCGAAAGTCAAACAATATGCTGCAGTATCTCTTAAATAACTATCTATCGAATCATAGATGAATATTAACATACATGATTATGAATGCGAAGTTTACATTCGTAAGTCTAATTAGTGAAAGATTTAGAAAAAATGAACAATTATTAATATGACTATTGTTTCCTTATTTTCTTTAGCTAAAGTTTCGAATATGTATCAGTCCACAGGAAGAAAACTTGTATCGGAAACTTTTCACGTCGAATTCAATTTAAATTATGATCAATGTGCTGCTTTGTGTTACAGTTGGACTCATGATTCGGACTCTTGTCAATCGTTCCATAGATGCAACGAGTTGTTTTAATTACGAACTAATTAATAACTCAAATAAGAAAAAACAATCAACTCCAATAGTAAAAAAAGGTACCAGCGGATCGGCAGCATTTGGAAAAATTTTGATCTTCATCGCCGCTGTCATTTCGAAGTAGCTGAAGGAATGATCAAAGTTTTATTTATAAAGATAAGTAGACTATGTACAACCAAAAAATGAGGCTGATTCGACAAGTCCCATCGGTATTTTATTCCCAGTCAACATTTTTGATTCAACATTGAGTCAAAAACAATGTCTCAATTGCATATTGAGTCAATTTTGAGTCAACGAAAAATTGAGTAAAAATTGAGTAAAAAAGTGTTCAAAAGTAGTCATTTTTTACTCAATTGTGTTCAACAGAAAATCAAAATTTAGTCAATTTTGAGTACATGTAGAGTAATTGATGAGTAAAATTGATTCTAATTTTATTCAATTTTGAGTCAAAGTGCTTTAAATGACAAATTTGACTGAATTGATCGGAGAATTGAGTTCTCCGCTGATAAGGAAAACAATTGTCGTCTACATTAATTGAATCATTATTTGTTCCAAAGTTGAAAATAGACATATTTCATATTGGCTATTTTCAAAATGGGTTTGAAATTCAGAAAATACTTTTTCGCCGACTTGCTCGCGATAGTATTTCCATTTTCTGAACTGATTCAACCAAAATTTTCTACTCAATCAAATTGAAACTTTTCTACGGTCAGAATAACGATGATAGGAAATTTATCTCATAGAAAGTTTTGCTTTATTCGAAATAATTCAATAAATGTTTTCAAAAAGAGTAATAATAATATAATGTCAAGTTCTTTTATAGATTCGAATATTTTGCTTTTGAATATTTCTCCATCATTAGATTCTGTTTGATTCGAATCAAGGTGTTGGTTTGAGTCAGAATCATCAGAATCATTTCCTATGGAGAATTTAACCTTTTCTTTGTCTTGGACGAATTCAATGAAGATAGGACTCGAATGATTCGCTGTCTAACTTTATTCAAACTCTCTCTGTGTAGCTCATTTGTCCACTTTTACGGAAAATGTGATCTAGAAGATAAAAACGAAAAGATGATTTGATTAATTTCGAGCGGTGAATTTTTGTCGATTAAACCTACCAAATAATGCATCCAGTCTGGACTGTCCTAATTCTGGATCAAAATCACCTTCAAAAGGCTTTTCGAACTGATTAGAAAATCCAAAAACGAAGCAAAGAGGAAGTTTATTGCTCTTTAGACCTTTTTCAATGACTTGCTTGAACTCATTCAATTCTTCATGAGTATATAACCTCTTGCCTAGTGTAGCGTTTTCATAATAAGATTTTGGAAAGGCCAATCTCGTCAACTGATATGCAAGGCAACAAGGATCTGATCTTGAAAGTTTGATTGCCGTTTCGTACAGATTAAGAGAGAGTTGCAATTTTCCCTCTATGAAAATAAAATTCTAATGAGAAAGAATGAGAATTAATTCATTGAATACAATTATTGAATTTAGTCAACTCACCTTTTTAGTATTCTTATACGTTGAATCTGTCGTCAGAATATGATGTAAATTTTGATTCATCGTTTGATATTTCTCATTAAGATAAAAAACAATATCCTGAAGTAAATCAATCACCGAGCGTAATATAATTCCACTACTGTCAATGTTGGATAAAATTTCTTTTCTTTTCTCCAAATCTCTGATTTTCTCGAGAATGTTGTTCAAAACGATTCTTTTCGGGCTCGTGTTTCTTTCTTGCTTATTGTTTGGCGATTCCTCTGATGAACTAGTCAATTCTTGTTGAATCGTTGTTGAAACTTTTTCACGCTTTGTTTTGTCAGGAAATTCATTTTCACGAGGGCAATTTCGTCCTTCACTTGGGTTTTTATCAGAGTCTTTGGTCTCATTAAGAACAGTTGATGGATTTTTTTCTCCACCATGAGATTCTATTCCTAGTAATTTATTCAACTCGTCACTTTCGATTGACACATAATCTGGGAAATCGTTTTCATATACAGCAGGATCGATATTTATTTCCAGTATTTCGCTTGTGTAATTGATAACTTTTTTCAAGTTTCTCCATTCTGCATTATACTTCACATTCTGTTTAAGTTTTTTGTAAAGTTCTGAAATAGATTCTGAAAGCAGAAAACAAATACATGATTACTTTGAGTCTCTTTCTGATGAATATTTTCAATGAAATTACAACTCACCTGCTAGAGCTATGAACTTGAACGAAATACGCATGTAATTTAGTTTTGTGATGAATTGATTCCCTGCTGATTGCACAATTGATTCGTGATTTGTTATTCCACAATTTTCGACATCTTTTTTATCCACGATTATCAAAATCGGTTGATTTAAATTTTTCTTTTTATGATCGGTGAAATTAGGCAGAATAACAGCATATAATCCGTTTGGGTCCTTTCGAATTGTGTCAAGTTGTTGGCTGTGAATGATTTACTTTTTGCTTCTTACTGAACAAAGTCGGAGATGAAGGAGCAGGAGGAGATTGAGATCGACTGGTTGACTTGGCCTGGGTAGATTGAGCGCCAGAACTTTTTTTAACAATCTTGCGTTGCAACTGTTTTAACACATTTTGACCAGAGGTTTTATAAAAGGAATCAACATTTGGAAATGAACTTGACTTAGTAGACTTTTGCCTTGACTGTGACATTATATGGGAAAATAAATACAAAATTGAATTTGAAAAATTGAACTGAATTGTAAGGAAGGGTAAATACAAGTGTTCACAATTACAAGAGACTCCATTGAGTTTATATCGTCAAATAAACCCAAAGATGAAGAATCTAACCAGTTAAGATTGCATCACAAATGTATAATTGGATAAAATTTTTCCTGTTTTGAATTGAATCTGATTTGATAATCAATTTAATTTGAGTCTCGAGAGACATCAAATTTTTGATCAAAATAGGGAAAAGAAATAAAAGGGAGATGAAAACAAAGGTAGAAAAAAATAGAAAAATAGAAAAAAATCACATTTGAAAATTGGAGAAATTGAAAAAATTAACCCAAAGAATCAATTTCTCAAAAAAAATGTTGATTATGGCATTTTGTTAATTGACTTTTTTGTCCTTTTTAGCCTTTGCAGCTACTTTCTGCATCACTAAGGCAAGAAAAGTCTCATCTTCCAGAAGATTCATCATCTCTTTTACACTTTTTCCAGAGCTTGATTCTTGAAGATTAGAATTGCTTTCAACTTCCTTGTTTTGATTGGCACGAGAAGGTCCAGAAACAGCAGTGTTTTTTTTGTCACCCTCTTGTTGTAATCCACCTTTGTCGTCATTTTGTTGCTCTCTCTCATCAATTTCTTCCTCTTCCTCTTCTTCTTCCTCTTCTTCTCCATCTTCTTCTCCATCTTCTTCTCCATCTTCTTCTCCACCTTCTTCTCCTTCTTCTTCTCCATCTTCTTCTTCTTCTTCCTCTTCTCCATCCGCAACCTTTCTATCATCTTGAACTTTGTCTTCCTCCTCATCTTGAGGTTCTTCTGAATCTGCTTCGACGAAAACCTTTAGATCTCTAATAGGTTGAACATTTCCCATCAATGGTGATGTTGGTGCGGACACATAAAGTTTCTCTGAATTGGCACCAGGAGAAATGGAACTTTGTTGAGTATCTTCATTTTGTTGTATCGGCGTTCCAATCATGGGTGAAAAGAGACCAGAAATAATGGAATCTTGATCGTTAGATTTTGCTTTTGTGCTAGGAGATTCTTTCGGAACTTTCTGAGTTTCGGGAATAATAGCTTGAGTTAATGGAATCTCGATTCGTTTCTTTTTCCATAGCGGTCCAGTTGAAACTGGACTTTTAGCTCTTTTTTTTGACGATCGGGTAACGGGTGAGCTTGTTGATTGGCCATCAACACTACTAAACGAATCAATAAATCCTGAAGATTCAGAATGAAGCTCTTTATCCTTGCGAGTTTTGTCAACAGTATTAGTTTTTTGAATTGATTCTTGTTCATTAAGTGAACTATCTGAATCGACCAACGATATCATTTCACTGACTCGATTTTTTGGTACCTTTGACCTTTTTTGATTGAATATTCCACTACTTGAACCAACATCTGAGTCTTCTCCAGAGTCAACACCAGCGTGCGTAGTTTTGATTTTATTCGAGGATGAATCATAAGGCTCCTTATTTTTCTTTTCATACCTGTGGTCACTAGATGAATGTTTTTTTCCATCTTTTATAACCTGTGGACGTTTGGTGCGCTGGTAGTGCATTGCTTTCGAAAACGCTGAAACCATTAATTTTTCTGTGGTCTTATCATAGGATTTTTTACCAGCCATTCTAACGCAGTGATCTAGATAAGCAGGATAAGCATAATTAGTTTTCAAATATCTCTTGATTAAGATTAATAGCTTGTTACTCACCTAGTAAAGCTCTGAACCTAAGCTCTCCCAATTCATTATCGACATGATTCTGCAGTGGGAATAAGAGAGGAGAAAGGTGATTCCAAGTGTTGATTAGCGAATGACGGCCTTTTGTGCCTCGCAATGTTGTTCCCTGTATCCAATGATCAGGAAATGAATATCTAATGAGCAAACTCATAATAGCTGGTGGGCCAAAATCAGGTTCATCTCTTTATTTCTCGCTGTTTCATAGCAATATTGTAGCCCGAGAAAGTACAGGCAGAATACCTTCTATAAGAATAGAATTTGAGTCCTGCTTGCATGTTTCATCTTCTTCCGGAATGAATCTTATA